ACCCTGGAAGAGGCCCTCGGGGCACATGCCCCCTTATCTCTTCACAGGGCAGAGGCAGCTGCTGCTGCACCTTGAGCCTTGCTGCAGCTGGCCACGTGCGGACACAGTTCAGTGCAGCAGCGGGACTCACGTGGGGTCAGGCCCTGGCCCGGCTGGGTCTCGGAGGATCTGGTCATCCAGGGGAGCATCAGGGGGCTCTTGCTGCTGGACGCAGCCCATCAGAGGCCCCAGGCCTCCTCCCCCCCCTAAGCTGTGCTGAGGACAAAGGTGGGTAATGCTGCGGGCTGCCCACTGCACCCCAAGCACAGGTGGGACAGGGGGCCACCATCGGGCTGTGTCCATCAGTGGGAGCCCCCCTCCCCTCTCCCCCAGACCGCAGAGAGTCCCAGACCTGGCTGGGCTGGGGCCTGACGCCACATACATTTCTGCTAAACTGAGTAATCAAACCTGAGTTAAAAATTCCTGTTTTTCCTGTTAGCGGTACACAGCCATCATGATAATAGATCTGATCCTGTAGTCACATATACATAGGAATAAGGGTCAGTCTGTATGTTATCTAACTGCATAGTCAGGAACTCTTATTGGACTACATTCTGGGTTATAGTCAGGAAAGTGCCTTACTAGCAAATTTGTTAACTAAGATACAGAACTGACAAGCATGTAGGCACATGCTTAGGTCTACCCCTGTGTAGTAGGGGTTAACATTTTTTCAGTACACAAGAAAGGGAGAGGAATCACAGTTTGACTGAAGTATCCTACCTTCAATTTTTAGCTTAAAATGTTGAGAAACTGAACAAATGTAGTCTGTGGCATCACAAGATGACAAAATGTGACATCTCATGGTGCTGTGTTCACTGTTGCTCTTCAGATTGTAACAGAATGTAAGAAGAGAGGTGACAATTATATCTGTATTTAATGGTACCTGATAACAAGTTACAATTTCACCTGTAGTATCCACGTGCTCCTATAGCAATACAAGTCTAGTAAAGCCATTGCAACTTCAGTCCTGTTTCATTCAGGAATAATGATCCAGCTTACTTTTACCACTATAGAGGCATGAAGACGTAGCAGTTACACCATAACAGTGACGGTGTGCTTCTCCCCATCTTTTACTGAAGTGGTTAAAGTCGTTTTAAAGAGTTTTTTTTATAGCTGTCCATAGCTTTTAAAATGGGACTGAGACATAAAACTAAGTACTGATCCAGCAAATGGATCTATTAGTGTGAGCAGTATAATGCAGTGGTTCTTAACCATTTTTTAAACCTTTTTTTTTTTTCAACACTTTTTTTTTACTACAGAAAAATAGTAAAGCAACTCTTCTGTTGCAAAGAGCCCAGAAAGACTGAAATGAATGTTTTTAACAATTAGGATTCTTAGTTGAAATCTCTGGGTGTATGTTGTAAATCATGTTTGCACATCTAACAGTGCTATGATTGTGTGGCACCCCATGACATCATTGAAAGGATCTCAAGATATATGCCAGGGTGCCGTTACACACTGATGGAAAATCACTGGTCTAACGATAGGGTCTGGGCCTTGGCTATTATTGGGGGAGATAGGGGCAGTGGTTGCCATGATACTCAGTACAAAGCTTGATATAAAAAGCTAAAGAATAGGACTCCTTTATAACTCATATCTATAAGTTATTTTATTAATAGAATACAATATTCCATGATTCCTGTTTTGCTTCTTCAAGCACAGTTTATCAAAATGTAGTGAAAGTTTCCAGTACAGAGTTTGCAATAAATCTAATGGCTCCATCTTACATTTATAACTAACAGAAATGGAAACTGTTAGCTCCTTTTAAAAGAAGAGCTGGATTAAAGTAAAATATGGCCCTTAAAAATGTCAGCCTGATCTCTGTAATAAGTCAAACATGTCTGTGTTGATTCAAGAGGGAAAGGCCTGTGTAGTATGAGTTGATTCCAAATGAAAGATATCATGTTTAAGATGCTGAGATTGAGAAGTTTTTTTTTCCAGACATTCATGGTGATATTGCATCAGTGCACTGTGCTTCCTTGTGTTAGTGAGTCTCTCTTCATGATGGTGAATTGGTACCGGTTGAATACAAGCCAGTTTACCCATGGCTATGTATTTATAGGCTTTGAAATCTGTATTCACTGTCAAAAGAAGGGGTTGATGGGGAAGAGAGGTTGGAAAATAAAGCAGTAAGCAAAGTATTTCTCCCTAGCAATGTTGAACCTTACTCTACAATTTTGGGACTAGGGAAGGTTTGTTTTAAGGCACCAAACTGGGACTTGTGAGATCTAGGTTCAGCTTTTGCCTCTGCCAGAGAATGTCTTTCTAATCTTGGGCATGTTATGGTCGTGTTAGAGTGATGTTGTAGCTATGATGGTCCAGGAATTGAGAGATACAAGGGTTTTTTAGGATGATATATTTTATTAGACTGACTATACAGTTGGGATAGACTTAAATCTTGGGCATGTCACTTCTCTCTTTGCACTTTGGATTGCCAACTGTGACGTGCAGGTGGTAGTAGATTCTCTCCTTTACCATTTACCTGTCTTGCCTGTAAACTCTTCAGGGCAGAGTTTCTTACCAAGCATTTCTACATTTAGGCCCAAAACATGGCAGAGGCCATCAGGTGCAGCGCCATATACAAATTGTATCAGCCAGAGAAACCTTGCTTGGAACTGCCTAGCTTGCATGGTTCTGCTTCTAGGAAAGACGAGGATAAATGAAAAACAGGTATGGAAGATGAGTAGAAAAACCTATAGGGAGGGCCTTGAGACCTATAGCTGGGGCCTTGAAAACTTTCCCAATACTGATGTGGTGTAAACAAAACTTCAGGTAGCCTAGCAGTGGGAGAGCAGTAGCTGAGTGCTGGTGACCACTTCATCTGGAACTGTTTTTGATTGAAGCCCTGCAATGGAGAGAGAAGCATTTCAGCTGCTCTACACTAATGCTGGGTTCAAAACAATGGAAAATTTTCAGGAAAAAAATCTGTGGAGACATGGCCACAATGGCAAGTTCCTATCCCAGCTAAGATGGGGGCATAGAGCTTTCTCCACAGCACCCTTTTATTGCTGTTGCTGGTTATGTGTAATGGGTAATTTTTAAAACTTGGCAGAACATTTAGAAGAGTTGATGACAATAAACTGCTCCATTTAAAAGAGTTTGGGAACAATACCCATTACACCAAACCAGCTATACAAATTGGGGAGCATGGTATTTATAGGCATTTCAGCCCATTTTGCAAATGAAGAAATCATTGATACGAATATGTTGTGACTTTTTAAAAATAGGTCTGAGTACTTAGTGTCACAGTATCCTTCTATCTAAGAAAAGGTCTCTTTTCTTCTGTAATTTGACATGGTACTCAAGTAGTGATTTTCATGTGACTAGTAAATATTTTGTAAGCAAAAATTATGAATACCCCTACTTTGTTTCTGAAAGTCTTAGAATTATTTTAAAATCATATTTTAGTCCTTTCAAAAGTATAAACAATATAGTCGTTTGTTAAAAGTTCAGCTTACGTATAAGTACTATTTAAAAAATATTTTGTGCAGGTATACCATATACTATTGACCTATTACCACTATCACTCTTAATTAGTATGTTCCAGTACCATTTCTGTTACACAAGTGTGTGCCCTGTTAGCAGTTCAGTTTATATTTTTATATTACTGTTTTAGCGGCATTTTATCTATGTTTTGCATTATAGAAATAAGTATTATTTAGCTATAACTACTATGAAAATCGAAGAAAATGTATAACATATATTTATAATTCCTTAAGCTATTTTGTTTCAAATATCAAAGGGAATTGTAGATACTTTTTAACATTGAATCTATACATATGGCATCTTGATTTATATGTATGGCATCTTAACATTTCAGAGCTATATAAGATAATCTAATTGATTTTGAGTCTCAGTTTAAACAGTTATGAAAAGAGGAATCATATGCCATATTTTATTGCATGCAACACACACCTGTATATAATACACATCTTGTATTTGAAAGACAGAATTAAGAAGAAAAGATTTTTCCAGAGTTACGGCTGCGTAGAGCAGGGACAGAGCCTAAACTTAAGCTGATTTACCCTCCCTTTCCTGGTTAACTAAAGCTCAAATCCTTGCTGCTGCTGAAGATGGGTGTCCATGGGTGGATTAGAATTTTAAAGGGAGCTATAAGGCTAAAAAATAGGAGAGACCAGGGGTAGCTAACAGACAGCAGTATTACCCTGAGAAAAATTAGCTTGATTCATGTAACATCAAGACCATTAAAAAGGTGAGACCATCGTTGACAACACGGGAGTGAAGCACAATGATCCATTAAATCAACTAACTCCCTCAGCTGTCTGAATAGTAACGTAACAACTGCTGCACTGTGGAGCAGAAGTCAAAGCAGAGTGCTTCTATCTTGAGTAGAAAATCGGCTTCCCTTCTTAATACATGCACCCAAATTGGGGTGGGGAGAGGCTAATTTGGGGTAAAAAGGTATATGTTCTATGCAAGAAAATAAGGTATATTTGGGAAGTCTCTACTCTCTCCTCATAAAAACTGGCCTTTGTCAAGGGACCTCATCTCTGTAACCTCTGTAGAGTTTCATTGTTCCCAACACTGTTGTCTGATGGCTGGAATTATTTACAGTGCAAGGCACTAGCTTCCGTACTGTAATAACAGTGAGGTTTGTTTTCAAGGGGGCTTGTTTTCATATCCTTTGGATGCTTTTTAAGTTTTTTCTAAATAATAAAAATAATGTAATGTTACAAAGTCTGTGAGTCTGTGGAATAGCCACAGTGGTTACCCAGTCATCATAAGTGATAAGAGATTATTGGATATTTAATAACTGAATGCTACTATACTAGACTCTACTGTTTTGGAAGGGGGCAAGCACTCTACCTCTGGTCTCAGGCTCATTGCCACACCACATGCATGGAGTTGTTCCAGTACCCCATCTTCTTCCATTAGCCCTTACAGAAAAGAGTGAGGTGGGTATACCATTGAAATTAACTTCTGTGCTGTGTCCACTGTAGGGTGTGCTGGAGAGCTTTCTGGGCACAGCAGTCAGCGGAGCCATCTTTTGCCTTCTTGCTGGTCAGCCACTCACAATTCTGAGCAGCACAGGACCTGTCCTTGTCTTTGAAAGACTTCTCTTTAATTTCAGCAAGTAAGTAGGTTGGAGGGAAGCAGGGGTGGAGGGTGGGAAAGGGCAGGATTTTCAATGCTAATTGTTAGTGTGGCTATGCAATACTAAAGAGTCTGTGGAAATGTATACTGTGATTCAGTGTTTTATTTGTCCAGGGATGAGATTGCTATAAAACTGGCTGAGATTTCCAGAACTTCGTGAATACCATGGATATGGATTGGAATTTTGGCTGTTGAAAATCTCAGCTAGTGTCAGATTTTAGGGGAAGCTTTGCCAACCTGTAGTAATCTAGACAAAACTGGAGTAAAGGGTATTATTGGTGGGAGTTGGCATAGAGGGTTCCTTTAATCATACTTAGGGCCCTATCAAATTCATGGTGGAAGTGGCGTGTGCTGCAGCTCCTTTAAAATGCAGGTTCCCCTGTGCGCTCCCCCCCTGCGGCTGATCGGTGTAGGGGCCCCACTTGCAGCTCATTCCTGACTGGCAGGGAAGCAAAAACCATGGTTTGAAACATGATACTGTTTTTGTCTCCCCGCTGGTCAGCAGCAAGCAGTAGGGCCACCGGGAAGGCAAAAACAGCACCATGTTTAAAACTGTGGTTTTCACTTCCCCGCCAATCAGGAACGAGCTGCAAGGAGACCCCTCCACCAATCTGTGGCAGGGACCGCGTGGGGAAACGTGCAAGATTCAAAGAGCTGCAGCACATACTCCTTCTGCTGTGAATTTGGTAGGGCCCTGATCATACTGCAGCACACAAGGAGGAGTAGATTCTCTCATACGAAATAAAGGCATAATCCCACTGTCAGTGGGTTTAGTGACTAATGTCCCACTGACTTTAGTGGCAGGAAGATATTACCTTAAAGCCATTCTCATTTGGAATACTAACTAATTACCAATAAAAGGACATGCAGAGATGTCTATAGTTATAGGTTTGTCATCAGCATGTTCAAGGGACTTAAAAGCTTAACCCCACTTCCACCTGGAAGTGCTTTTCTTTTAATATTTACACTGAAGTAACATCTAATACAACAGAGCCCTGCTTGGTTGTGTTCTTTTTTCAGTAAAGGAATACAAGTACTGGGACACCTTGGAGGTTACTGTTCTAAAATAAGATTTATTATTGATTTGCCCAGTTGTACTGCTGACATTTTTAGATGCAGTATAAAATCTTGTGCTTTGGAAGAAAGAACATGACATTAACACTTTCTAGTCTCACAACAGAGAGAGAACTTACAATATTATGTGTTTGGACTTCAAAGCACAAAAGGAAGAACTTTTGAATGTAAAGCATAATGGATTCTCTGTCAAAGCATTTGACTGTAATACGGAACAGTTGTTTAACTGCCTGCAGATATGTATAGAAAAGGCCTATTAAATTATTGACCCAAACTTGGCTGTGGATTGCAGTAAGACAGAAGAGTGTCCTAATATGTTAGGTTGTATAACTGTATTCCTTTTTTCATCGTCTTGAATGTTATAGGAAAATTAATCTTTTGTGAGGGATCTGTAATCCGAGTTGATAATTCTAATTCCTTAAGTGATTTTCTTTGAGATGTTCTAATGTGACTATGTCTGTCTCTTCCTTATACCACTTAGAAAATGTTAGACATATTTGTTCATGGTTTTGTGATGCAGAATATACATTTGTACACTCTCCATTTTTGCAGTTTTGTATCACTTACATTTTGAAGGGGTATAATTTAATTTGATTTCTTCCTTTACCTGACTGCATTTTGAATTGTTGTAGCTGTGTGCAAAAATGGTGAGGCACAGTTTTAAAGGAGACCTCAGAGCACCTGGCAACCTCAGTGTCTTGGGGTGTCTATACATGAGCGTGGAGGCTGTTCCAACATGCTGTAATTACTGCGTGTTGGAACAGATTGAATTAATCGATTCTGCTGGAGCGTGGTAATTACTGTGCTCCAGCCAGCCTCCTAATCTCATGTATCAGCATCCCTGTGCTTCAAAGTGGCAGTGGGAGTGCTTTAAAACTCATCAAATGAACATTAGATAAAGCACCCCCACCGTCATTTTGAAGCATGGGGACTCTGATGCACAAGATGCTCTGGGGACTTTAATTAAAGCCACTCTAATTAAAGTGCCTTTGCCCTCAGTCCCAGAGCACGTGTACAGAAAGCCTTGGTGTCATAGTTTGGGTAGCGTGTTATCATTTTGTTGTTAGCTTTGGAGCACATATGGTCACTCACTCTTTTCTGGCCTCTCTGCAGTAGAACCATATACATTTCAGCACACTGAGGAGTTCAGCATGGAGCAGAGTAGTGCCCATTAAGCCACCTCTTAAATGCTTTATTCTGTTCTGCACAAAACTTAATGCTGTATTAGACTAGAAAGTCATACTGAGGTAGGGATCTCATTTGTTTCCATAACAGAAACAATCTTGTATTCACTAAACTTCGTAATCAGCAGGGATCCTGGTTTTCCCTGATTAAAAAAATAACAAACTGTTTGATAAAAAAAAAAATCCCCAAATCCATGATTAAAATTAAAGGCCCCCCACAGGTCCTCCCCCAGCCCTGCTGGTGCCCCTCACTCCCTCCACAACCCTCCCAGCCCTGCTTGTGCCCCTCACTCCCCCACAAAAGCCCCCCAGCCGCCCCCCCAGCCCTACTGGTGCCTCTCACTCCCCCATAGCAGCCCCCCAGCTCTGCTGCTCCTCATTCCTCCCCACAGTCCATCAGCCCTACTGGTGCCCCTCCCTCACCCCACAGCCCCCTGGCCCTGTTCATGCCTCTCACTCCACTCCCCCCACTTCCCACAGCTCCCACAGCCTTGCTGGTGCCCCTCACCCACCACCCCCAGCCCCTGCACCCCCAGCCCTGCAGGAGAAGGCCCCCAGCTGCCAGGGCTATGTACATGGGTCCGTATCCCCCTGACCCTGCTCTCCCCTGTTGCCTACTGTGGGCTCAGGTGGGGTGGCTCCCCACCCCTGCGTGCACTCCCAGGGGGCAGAGGGGACCCACACCCTCCAGATCTGTGCATGGGGCAGGCGCAAGCTGCAGGCACTGTGCTGGGTGGCATCTGCTGGGCTGCGGAGGCCCCAGGGGAGGGAAGCAGTGAGGAACGAGTAGTGGTAAGCAGCTTCTCTGTGCAGCCTCGGTGTTCCCTACCACCCTGCTTCCTTCCCTTGGGGCCTCTGCGGCCCGGCAGGTGCCACCTGGCATGGCAGGGAGCACTGGAGCCGAGTGGAGAAGCTGGTCGTCCCACATTGCTCTGGTGATGTGCCTCCTGGGTCTGGGGCTGCGCCCCTCAAAGCAGTGACAGGTGCAGGAGGCACGTCACTAGGGTAGCGGGGGTGGAGCTCACATCAGCGAGGAGATCACTACACAGCCATGCTGTCCCCAGCTGCACCAGGTTGTGCCCATTGGTTTGTGGAGGCCCCAGGGAAGGGAAGCAGGGTGGGAGCCTGCACCCGCAGCCTTTGCTTGCCCTGCATACAGATCTGGGGGATGCAGGTCCTCCTGCCCCCTGGGAGTGCATGCAGCAGCAGGGAACTGTCCCTCTGCCTCCCCCAGATGAGCCACTCGCAGCCCCATCCTGCTCCCCGCTGAGGCCCTGCAGCTGCCCATTGTGGGCTCCCGGCCCCAAGTCCCGCTCAGCTGGGCAGCAGCTCCAGCCCTGCCCAGCTCCCGTCCTTCCTCCCTACAGGGACCTCTATCTCCCTCTCCCCCCCTTACCTGCTGGAGCTGCTCTGTAAGCTGCCTGGGGCCATGTGCATGTCTAGCAGGTGTTGCCCCTTGTCTCACCCCCTCCCTCCTGCTCCCTCCCAGCTCCCTGCAGGCTGGAACTCTGCCAGCCTGCAGGGAGCTCATTGCAAAATGGCAAAATCCTCAAGTTTTTCTTGTAAAATGAGAAATCTGTGTTTGCCTCTGGTAAAAGGTAAAATCTGTGGTTTATTCCGTTTTTCCGTGGGAAACGGAAAATCTGGATCCTTGCTAATCAGTTAAATTACTTCCCCAAG